GGTATAAGGGTGGAGGATGAATTGTGTGCTTTGTTGACTACTTGCTAATTGATTGTATTGAATGCCTTAGTTGCCTCTACTCGTTATTTGCATGATTATCTACCTGTTATGTCTTGCATTGCATGTTTAGGACGCATATTAGTTCTTATGATTATCTTATGATATTGAGTCTGTTAATATGCCTTGGGTCTTGATCTTGGATTTAAACTAGAGTCTCGTAAGTATATATGTATCCCAGTTTCAAAATGAGTTTTCTTATATCTACCTATATTGTACTTAACGCGTTGGAGCTGGTTAGCAGCATTATTCGCTGACGGTTGTTATACTGAATGTTTTTCAGGTGACGAGCTTTAGCTTCGGAGCGCGCTAGTCAGAGCATTGGACTTAGCTTAGTAGTCTTAGCTCAGTAGTTGGCCTGCGTGCCTTAGGAATGTATTGAATATTGATTTGAGGATTTCTTATGCTTAGTTAGTTTAGCCTGTGCACCTAGGTTCTCAAACCTAGGTGTGGCATAGCACCCCGACTCTTATGGATATTTTTATGCTCTATTTGGGATTCAGTTAAGGGATTCGCCTTCATTTTATAAGTTTTAAATATCTTGAAATTTAGGGGTGTTACAGTTGGTATCAGAGCCTAAGTTCGACCCTAGGACAATGCCTTTAGGATAAGACTTTGGACATTAAGCTTGAACTCTAGGTACCTACATACTCGGGATGTTAAGAGTTAGACTTTAAGAATCTAAGCTACATCTAGGATAGTACTCTAAGTTAGAGACCTTAAGATGTTTAGCCGTAAACTCTAAGTGTTCAAATACTTAGGACTTAGGAGTCTTAGGATGCGCGGTAAGGTTGTGAGTTTATCTATCATTATCTGCCTAACTTCTCATCACTCTATCATGTGCTTAGTTTAAAGATCCCCTATACTTATAGCATCAAGGTAAGGATGCGAACCCCTAACTTGCCGTTACAATCGACACTGGCCCTGTATGATGCGGCCCAACATAATGAAGATCCATTAAGATTACAAATTGGGCCAATCACAAGATCCGAGGCCCAAATCAGCTTTATTATTTGTGGTCATCATTTATTTTAAATTGTTTAGAATTAAAGAGAAAACAATAGTTGTATTTAGAAATGATTCTTTAAATCCTTTTCTAAACAAAACTCTATTTACTTGTTTTCTAGATTAGGTTTAGGACTCTTTTTCCCATTGTATTTAGATTACAATGCTGCCCTATACCTATAAATAGGGCACATCCATATCAGTTTTGAGGAGGCTTTAATTCAATAAAATTCTTAAGTTTTTCTTTACACTTGTGTAAGAAACCTTATGGCTAATTGTGGACTCAATTAGTGGCTAGTCGTGGACTCGACTAGCAAATTGATTCGTGGACTCGAATCAATCTTACTTTCTTCAACCTTAGATTTAGGTTCGAGGACTCGTTCTTGAATCGAAGGAAACTAGATCCGAATCTAGTTGATTGAAGATTGCAACATCGAGGTACTTGAAGCTACATGGGATTCTTCCAAGTCTTTGAGGATTCGAGACAAAGGGTTTCTCGTGAGGTTTAAGGTATTTTGATCCATCTCTATCTTTGCATTTAGAGTAATCTTGGGACAATACTCCATCTTTATGTGAACCTTGGACTAGGTCCATATCAATTTGGTATTCAGAGCCTAGGTTTGTCTCGTTATCATTAGAAATTTGGTTTCTTTGGTTCCCTAGGTTTATCTCGTTCTTATCTTACATACTACATTTATTCGTTTCTTATTCATTAAAAAAACCCCCAAAAAAATTTTCTTTTGCATTCTTGATTGTGTTCTTGAATCTTGATACATGTTCTCCAGTTTCTTGAAAAACAATCCCGAAAGTGTTTTCCCTTTTTCCCGTCCAATATCAATGAGACCTCACACCTCCTAAGCACCATATTACCACATATTCTGTCAAGAAAACAACCCCATCTTACCCTTACCTATATCCAAAGCGCATTTACGCGCAATCACGTCTCAATCACACCCTGTCCAGATTTTCGCGAGCTGTGACCAGTTTCAAAGAATTACCTATATCTCGAGATCCACTGGTTAGTTTTATCTGAAATTTGGATATGTTGTAGATCTCTTCTGGGGCGTTCTTTTGATATATTATAAACTATCTAATTCCTTCTGGTTAGTGAGATATTGATCTTCAAAGTCAGGGCATTGTTTCTGTTTTTCTAGGCGATTCTTGAAATTCTTGATTCTGTTTTGAAGTGCTTGTGTGGAACCACTTGGTCTGAAATTTTTGGTGATATTTACAGTAATTATTTGGAGGTTATTTATCAAAAAAATCAAAAAAAATCAAGAAAGTTAAAAAAAAAAAAAAAAAAAAAAAAAAAAAGCAAAAAAGAGAAAGCAATAAAGAAGAAGAATAAGGTTGGGGAAAGAATTTGGCTGGTAGGAGAATTTTGGAGGGACAAGGAAGGGGAAAAGTATAAGGTTGGAAGGAGTTCTTGATAGATTCCTAATTGGTTGTGGTACACGTGAACCTATTTTATATTCTATTTGTCTCTATCTTTTGATATTGGTCTTGCATATCTTTCTGCCATACTTCCTTCTTTGGTTTCCTTTTTTTCTTTCAAATCTTGCTTAGTTTCTTTGCTTGTATTGTCCTTTTTCTTTGCTTCTTGCTCTCAATTTTATTACCTACCTCGCGATACACCTTACTCTCAAAGGCTTGTGAAGTTTTCCAAGGCACGTTTTCTTGAACTTTGAGGTTGAATCCATACCAACTTGAGTTCCGGACTAGAATTTTCCTTTTTGGAAAAAGGCTTGTGAGAGTATCTGCCACCTTGAGCGATACACGAGTGGAGTGTGTATTTGTAAGAGTGTGTAGTGCACCCCCAGAGCCATATAATCCACCTCTTACCTGCAAGCTGAGAATAGTGAGGGAGCGAGCCAACTTTTTGGTTTCACTAACGTGATTACTCACACATCTTCTTCTTTTTAGATTTTTTTTTTCCTATACAGATGGCTGAACAAGTTCCAAACCTGCCCCATACATTAGAACAAAAGATAGACAGGTTACTCAAACGAATGAATAATTTGGAGCAACGCTCACAGCAAGTGCAACCACCACACAATGATGAGCGATACCTGCCACCAGCAGGAAGAGTGGATCCTAGATGGCAAAGGATCCAGCAGCGTAATGCGGAGTTAGGAAACATTAAACATGAAATTCCTAACTTCACTGGTGAGAAAGGACCTACCGAATACATAGAATGGGAGAATGCTGTTGAAACTCTTTTTTATTTAAAGCACTATTCTGATCTTACAAAAATTAGGCTAGTTGCTACATCTTTTCAGGGGTATGCTTTGTCTTGGTGGCGAAAAAGAAATAGAGAGAGAGTTGCTAATTTTATTCCCTATGAATCTTGGGTTCAAGTGACGGAAGATATGCGCCTAACCTTTCGTCCTAAATCTTTTTTCTATGATCTTGAAAGAAAATTGCAGGGAACCGTGCAAGGAACAATGTCAGTTGATGAGTACCACCAAACTATAAATATTTTGCTTGAACAGGGAAACATACATGAAGAAGAGGCAAAATCTATTGCTCGTTTCGTACATGGATTGAGCTTAGAAATTCGATGTGGAATGAGTATTCAGAGATATGACACCCTTTATGATGCCTTGTATGCTGCACGTGAATCTGAGGCAAAAATCAAAGAGATGAAAATGTACAAGGCCAACAATGGTGCATCAAAATGGAACAACACTTGTTCTACCTCTCAAAGATGTGATGAACGTCCTCTTCCAAGAGATGATTCACGAGACAAAGGTAAAGAAAAGGTAAGTGAGGCAGTGAAGCCTCAACATGATAGAGAATTGATTTGTTATAGATGTAATGGGAGAGGCCACATAGCTCGTGATTGCCCTAACAAAAGGGTAGTTAAGATAACCAAACAATCTGAAAATTTTGCTTCTTGTCTTGAATATAAGTCTAAGGATGAGGTATGTGACCATTTTGAAACTCTCAATGAACATGTTGAGGGAGAACCATTCATACCTTTAGATTCTGATTCGAAATATGTTGCTAGTGAGTCTAGTCATACTGTTGTTGTTAAGGAGGTTTTGAATGTTCACCCTTTAAAAGAAGATGAGTCTCAAAGAGAAAATATATTTTGTACTAAAGGGTCAATTAAAGAGAATGCTTGTGCTATGGTAATAGATTCTAGAAGTTGCACAAATGTGGCTAGTGCAGCTATGGTTAAATTTCCCCAGTTACCTTTGCTTAATCATCCAAATCCTTATTGTTTGCAATGGTTAACTGATGTAGGAGAAGCTAGAGTAACCAAACAAGATCTTATTCCTTTATCTATTAACAGTTACTCTGATGAAATCTTGTGTGATAATATCCCAATGCAGGGTGCTCATATCTTGTTAGGTAGACCATTGCAATTTGACAGAAAAATAAGTTCTGATGGAATGAGGAACACTTATGTGTTTCACATGAATGGAGTTACATATTTCTTGTCTCGTTTGTATCCTAAACAAGTAGAAGAAATTCAATTGACATTGATGCAAGCTCTCAAACCAGCCTCAAAGAATGAAGAAATCATAGAGAGAAAAGTGGAACCTCCATGTTTGGAATTGCAATCACCACTCCAATCCTATAACTCAATTTGTAGCCAAACAAAGGGACCACAATCAGTGATACAGTGGAAAGGACCAGCCCAAGGTGTCAAAGTGCAACATCTCTTGGTAACTAAAAAGGATAGTATGCAAGAGAAAGGAAGGGGAGTCACTTTATACTCACTTTTATTCCGAAAGCATGCATTATTATTCTCTAGATTTCTTTGCCATGTTTCTATTAATGACGTACTTGCTAGATGTGTTAGAAATTTGTTTGCCTCCATACATCCAAGATTCCTTAATTTTGATTTTACTAAAACTTTGTTTGATAGAGATAAGGAATCACTGGAAAGTTATAAGGCACATTTGAAAACTTCTTATGTGAAACACTACTTGCTCAAGGGGTTTTGGTTCAAAGTCAATGGGATTTGCACTTTTTGCTTTGTTTTGGGCAATGGTTTAATTGTTGATTCACATAAAGGACACTTTGGTTTTCCAAAGAGTGATGATGTTTTGCATGGATATTTTCATTGGCCAAAGAAGAAAAAAGACGTAGAATCTTATGTTCATAATTGTGCTACTTACCACCACAATACATCTAAAACATTACTTGATATTTCCATGGATTTTGTGTTTGGTTTAGCCTTAAGCTCTAGAAGGAAAGATGTTGTGCTTGTTGAAAATTCAAAAAAGATGGCTAAATTTAATATGTCTCGTTTTGCTGATCTATTACTATCCAGAATGTTTAAATTCCATGATGTGTCATTAGACTTAATTGCCTTACTTGTTGATTGTAGGATGATGATTGGAGCGACTCGTGTCAAGCACCCCAAGAAAAAGTTCCATGAGCGTGATAAAACAGAAAGTGAGCTTGCTACTTTGTCTTTCATTGAAGATTTGGATTCGAGGACGAATCCTTTTCAAGAATGGGAGAATAATATGAACCAGCACACATGGAATCCAATAAGGGTCTATAGTCATCACAAGGCCAAAAAGTACATCCTTAAAGCATCATTGGTGGAAAAATCAAGGAATTCCAATAATAATTCCATTCGATAGAGGAAAGCATTATAGTGGCCCGTTTCAAGTGATGTCACGGATCGAAGACAATGTTTATAAGATTCGAGGTCGAATCATTTTTCAAGAAGGGGAGGATGATGCGGCCCAACATAATGAAGATCCATTAAGATTACAAATTGGGCCAATCACAAGATCCGAGGCCCAAATCAGCTTTATTATTTGTGGTCATCATTTATTTTAAATTGTTTAGAATTAAAGAGAAAACAATAGTTGTATTTAGAAAGGATTCCTTAAATCCTTTTCTAAATAAAACTCTATTTACTTGTTTTCTAGATTAGGTTTAGGACTCCTTTTCCCATTTTATTTAGATTACAATGCCGCCCTATACCTATAAATAGGGCACATCCATATCAGTTTTGAGGAGGCTTTAATTCAATAAAATTCTTAAGTTTTTCTTTACACTTGTGTAAGAAACCTTATGGCTAATTGTGGACTCAATTAGTGGCTAGTCGTGGACTCGACTAGCAAATTGATTCGTGGACTCGAATCAATCTTACTTTCTTCAACCTTAGATTTAGGTTCGTGGACTCGTTCTTGAATCGAAGGAAACTAGATCCGAATCTAGTTGATTGAAGATTGCAACATCGAGGTACTTGAAGCTACATGGGATTCTTCCAAGTCTTTGAGGATTCGAGACAAAGGGTTTCTCGTGAGGTTTAAGGTATTTTGATCCATCTCTATCTTTGCATTGAGAGTAATCTTGGGACAATACTCCATCTTTATGTGAACCTTGGACTAGGTCCATATCACTGTAGAACACCAGAATGGCGCTAACAAGAAGCCAGTACATGACTCCTGAACCCTCCACCCACGAATCACTAGTTCAGAACCTACAACAACTAACTCAGGTCGCCCACACACTAAGCAACGCTATCCCCCATAACAATAACCGACCACCACCACCCCCACCAAACGGAAATTCAGATGTAACTCGCCAAGTCTCGAACCATCGCCCGCCTATTTTCTCAGGAGAATAAGACCCCACAATCCTCAAAGAATGGATCCAAACCTTCGACAAGATCATCGAGGTAGTGGAATGCCCGGAGGGACGTCGGGTAGAGATAGTCTCCTTCTACTTTGGACACGAAGCCGATCTTTGGTGGGTCCACGAAGGACATGCTTGTAGGCAAGAACCAGGGTTCAACTGGGAGTCCCTAAAAGTGCGACTACGGGGACGGTTCTACCCCACGAACATAAGGGCAGCCATGTAGGAGGAATTCCTCCACCTAAAACAAGGGATGGCCATGGTCATGGAATACCACAAACGATTTCTCGAGCTAGCTCGTTTCGCGCTCGAATTGGTGCATACGGAAACGACCAAGATAGAGAAATTTGTGACGGGCCTCAACTGCAAAGCCCGAAAGGCCCGAATCGTAAGCAAACCCTGAACCCTTAACGAGGCTTACACCAGCGACGCCGACCTCTACCGGATCCAACTTCTACAACGAGGAGTTCAGGAACAGATTCGCAAGAGGAATACCGGAGGCGGGGGACCACCAGTGAAAAGAGCAAGGAACGACTCTAACACAAGGATGGTTAACCCATCTAATTAAGGATCGTCTACGAGGAACAACGAAACCAACGTGAGACCATTCCTTTGCCGGAGATGCAATAAGGATCATAGGGGCAAGGACTGCCTTGGAAACACCTTGCGGTGCTTCAACTGCGAAGGGGAAGGACATAAGGCCTTTCAGTGCACGCGGCCCCCGAGCACAAACCCTACGGTCATGGGCCAACAAGGGAGCACGAATAACCGAGGGAGTTACAGTGCTCCTGGAAAGGTATTCGTCATTAGCCGCACCCAAGCTGACCTGGAAACCGAAGCCAACATCGACACAGAAAATGTAGCACTCGGGGACGAGGACCCCACGAATCAACCAGAGGAGAATCCAGAAGAGGAGTTCTGCGTAGGATAAACTGCGAACCCCTGTAAACTACCCTTTTTGTAGAATCACTTATTTAGTTCGGTTATTTAGAAATTCGCATGCCCTTAAATAAAAGACAAGGTCAATAAATCCAATCAGCTTAATTTCTCCTGACTACCGCCCCACGGAGTAAGTGAAGGACTAAGATCCGCGCCTTCTATAATCTACGAACTCCAACCAAGAGGTTCGACAAGAAGATCTAATCGGAGCACTTGCCACACCGGATCAAAAGAATAATAGGAAGCCCAAAGCATGGAAGGGGTGCACAAAATGACTAATGTAACCAATGAGAACTAAACCCTAGACCTCTCATTTACAAAACCAAGTCCCTAACCACTAAACCATGAGTGTTTCTTAAAACCTCAAGGGGACACAACTTTCTTAAACCCCTCCAAATCCCTAAAATCCACAAAATCACCAAATCAGAAACTCTTCTTCCTTTTCTTCCTCCCACTTCTACCCCCTCTCTCTCCCTCTCTCCCACCACGCCCGGCCGACCACCCAAAACCCCCCAGCCGCACACCAGCAACCACCGCCGACCGCACGCCACCAACCGCTCGCCGCCACGATCCCGTCAACCCGACTAACCGCCACCACCCGCGAGACGCCCGCGAACACCGCTCTCCCGTCGACGCCCCGGCTAGACCCCGCTGCCACGCCACGACGCCACCGCTATCCTCGCCCAAAAATGGTCAAGATCCTCGCCGCCGACTCCCGGGTCTCCGCCAGAACGAAGCCACGCCGCTGCCAAACTCGCCGGTAGTCCCACCGGAATTCTCGCCGGAAATTCCGCCGAAGCGTCGAGCCGCACCACCGCCACCTCTTGGAAATCCTACAATGCCGAAAAAGCTCGTCGGTACTTGAGTCCCGGAATGGAAAGACGTCGACTACACGGTGATCGGAGGTAAAGCACTCGAACCCGACCATTTCTCTCAGGAATTAGTCGATATGCTTAGATTCCAAGACCTTTTGGATACCTATCTCACGATTAAAGGAGATACGTACCCCGAATTGGTGAAGGAGTTCTATTGTCATATGGTAGCCACCAAACGGGGGGACAAGTTGGAAATCACCTCCAAGGTCCAGTGCAAGGAGATAGTGTTCTCCGAGGGCCGCTTGGCTAAGCTCCTAAAATTGACCACCACGGGCGTATTACACTATGACCGGAAGGCTTGGGTCGGTACCCGCGACACGGGGTACACAGACTACCTCGGGTATTTGTTGGGAAGAGAAGGTGGTTTCACTTCGGCCACAAGGCCAAACAAGAAGTTGCTAACCGCCGAGCAGAAATTGCTAGTTATGATTGTATCCGCCAACTTGTTGCCCACTAACAACAAAAGCAAGGATGTGGGGAGCTTGGAATGCACCTTTGCCTATTTCCTTAAGCATAAGGTCAAGTTCAACTTACCCGCCCTTATGTTGAAACACATGGAGTTCTGTAAATCCAGAAACCGGCTCAGCATACCCTACGAGATGATCCTAAGTTGGATCATGGAAAGAAAGGGAGTAGACCTAAGCCGGACTGAAGCCAAACCCATGGGTGGAATGGTTTTCAATGCCCAAAACCTCTGCCGCAATGACATCTACTATGTCAGAGAGGGACAATACATCACCCTCGAGGAGGTTTGCCTGAAATCCCCCGAAGAACGACGAGTACTAGTGGATCAGTTGGAGATCTCCAACAAGAAAATGAGACAGGAAATGCAAGAAAGCGAAGAGCAGGAAGAAGAAAGCGAGCCCAGCCAGCCTAAACCCGCACAAGGAAGGGGAAACGCGGAAGCCCGAGACGAAAGAACCACCAATGAGCGCATCCTCGTGCAACTCATGAGGCAGAATCAGATCATGGATGAGGGATTCTCGTCTTTGATTCTCGCGATGAGCTCATTGGACAGGAGAGTGGCGGCAATCGAGACCATGTTGGGCACGCGTGGAGCTTCAAGCTCGGGAGTGGGAAGCCAAGGTATACCCGAAATCTCAAACACTACTTGCCACCGACCTAATCAAACCCCACTCTACCCTCATCAAATGACACATTTGAGCAACATTACCTTAATCAGGAGGCCAAATGCATGACATCTAAGGATGAAAGAGTAATCTGTGCCTGAGCTTCGGGGACGAAGCTCCTTGTAAAGGGGGGGGGGGGTGTAACACCCCGTGTTATGGCCTCTAACCCCGGATTAATTATTTAATTGATTCCGTTAATAATAATTAGAAAGAATTTAATTTGGTTAGAATTCCCTTTAATTAATTGATGTGGCCCACCATGGATCATGGACCCTTATCCTTAAACCAAATCCTTAATCTTATAAAAAATAGGATAAGTGGATCCTTACTATTCAGACCCTAGTTGGGACTCCTAAATCTATATATAGGCCATAGGGACTTAGGAAGCATTTAGAAACCCTACCATAGTTAATTCTACCACACGAGATATTCCTAGAGAGAAACCTACAGAGGAATCCCCCCCTACCATCAAAACGTAGGAGAATCCACGAAAATAAGATCTTAGAGAAAGAACCTTTGTAGCCAAGGATATTGATTAAGGCTAAGAGGTAACCCATGTCTCGACAAAACCTATTTTCCTTGCTATATCTTATTCATTGGCTCCTTTGATATATGATTCTGTGCTTGAGTTTTGATAGAGCTTTGCCTAGGGTTTATATTGTGTTTATATGATAATCTTGGTGTTTATGTGATAATCTTGATGTTTATGTGATAATCTTGATGTTCTTGATACTATGATTAATTATATGAGCGATCTTGTATTTTGATTATGTCTAGAGCCCTAGGGTTATAACGTGGATTTCGTATTATGATATTCTTTGTATATTTGGGTGGGATTTTGCATGATCGGGTGTTGAGTCTAGCCTAGGACTTGTGTTTAGGACCTTGCATATAGATTTCTTGATGTTCTTGTGATTCTAGATGTCCCTGGATCGTTATGTGATTTATGTTAAGTCTTGGCATGTTTAGAAATCGTGTTAGGTTATATTTGGTGTGATTCTTGGTTTAATTTCGTTACTTGAATGCGTGGTGTTGTCGTTATGTGTTTGAATGTGTTTGGACATGGTTTCGGGTTCCGCGAGAGATCCCGGAACCAAAAGTTGCGTGTGTATCAGTGGGGGGATTAACCACCCGCCACCTACCCGCTGCCCGTAAGCACTGTTCTAGCAGGCAGCCGGCGGGCGGTGGTCTGCCCGCCGGCCACCCACTGGAATAGTACCCGGCCGCCGACGGGTGGTCCTCCACCCGTCACCTACCCGCTGGAATCCCGGCATGGTTCGTGGTGTTTTCCCCCATTTGATGTTTCCGCGTGTCCCGTTGTACCTCGTTTGTCGTGTATGAGTCTCGTTTGGTGTGTTAGGCATCATTCTAGGATTTTATGTGTGATACGTGTTGTTATTGTTGTGTCTTGCTTGTTATGTGATTATGTGTTGATTGATTGGATGATGATGAGTATCGTGGTCATTGCGCAATGACCAGTGTGACTGATGATGATGCGATTGTGATTGGTGGAAAATAAACTGTTGGCGGTTGGTACCACTTGTGCCCGGTCATTGTACTAAAGGTACAGGCAGTAGCGGTGACTGTGCTAAAGGCACATACCCACCTTAGACTTTCTTGCCGTTGAGCATGGGTCAGGTTATAAGTGTTGCGGTGTCGTGTTAGAGCTATATGCGCTAACCCCTTGATATTGGCACTAGAGGTGCGGATCATTGAATGGCACTGCGGCACCATCTTGATATGTTGGTGGTTGAAAGGTGGGTTCGTCGGTGGGGGCATGTAGTTGCTCGGAGGCATAAGGGGTGGGGATATAAGGGTGGCCTAGAGGTATAGGTTGGAACTGATATAAGGACGGAGGGGAGCTACCCTTGGAACTTGGTATAAGGGTTGATGATGAATTGTGTACTTAGTTGACTACTTGCTAATTGATTGTACTGAATTCCTTAGTTGCATTTACTCGTTATTTGCATGATTATCTACCTGTTATGTCTTGCATTGCATGTTTAGGACGCATATTAGTTCTTATGATTATCTTATGATATTGAGTCTGTTAATATGCATTGGGTCTTGATCTTGGATTTAAACTAGAGTCCCGTAAGTATATATGTATCCCTATTTCAAAATGAGTTTTCTTATATCTATCTATATTGTACTTAACGCGTTGGAGTGGGTTAGCAGCATTATTCGCTGACGGTTATTATACCGAATGTTTTCCAGGTGACGAGCTTTAGCTTCGGAGTGCGCTAGTCAGAGCCTTGGACTTAGCTTAGTAGTCTTAGCTCAGTAGTTGGCCTGCGTGCCTTGGGATTGTATTGAATATTAATTTGAGGATTTCTTATGCTTAGTTAGTTTAGCCTGTGCACCTAGGTTCTCAAACCTAGGTGTGGCATAGCACCCCGAATCTTATGGATAGTTTTATGCTCTATTTGGGATTCAATCAAGGGATTCGCCTTCATTTTATAAGTTTTAAATATCTTGAAATTTAGGGGTGTTACATCTTTGGTTCGTTGCTATTTTTTTTTGTCAAACCCGTCGTGCCCAAGCTTCGGGGATGAAGCTTCTTGTTAGGGGGAGAGGATGTGACACCCCGTAAATCTAAATGATAATTAGCATTAATTGAGGAATTAATCCTAGCCTTCCATGGTAATTCCTTCCAAAAATCCTGAAATTTAATAGTCGAGGGACTAGAAATTGACTAGTCACTTAAGTCAAATAAGTGTACCTTATGCTTTATGGTTTGTACCTTTTCCCTCTTGTCTTTCCAACCTTAGTAAGGGTAAAAGTGACTTTCCACCTATGAATTGTTGTTCAAGCCATCCCTAGCAAGACATCCCTTTCATTTCTCATTCAAGCCTAAGTCCCAAACTCTCCATCATCTCTCTAAAAAGAACCTAGCTTATTCTTCAAGCAAAAAGGAGAACCTTCTAGCCTTGCAAGATCCCACTCCAAGATTCCTACTTTCTTCTTCCCAAGCATAGGAAAGGGTAAGGTTCATAGCTTTTTAGTGTTTTTAGCCATATTTTGGGTGTCTTTATCTAAGATAGAATATTTCTTGTGTTTTGGCTTGTGTAAGAAGTTGGTGGAGAAGAGGAACTCTAAGAAGAGGCTTATGAGGGTGAAAAGGAGAAATTGTTAAGCTACAAAGGTAACCCATGCTATACAAAACCCATTTTCTTACATAAATGATGATTATTGGCTTCTATTTGATGTTCTTGGTGTGATTTGTGAGAATTGATGCATGATCTTGTGATGATGCATGTTTAGAGCTTGCATTTAGGTTTCTTAAATGTCATTGCTTGGCTATTTCTTGGGTTCAAGTCATATCTTTGTTGTGTGTGAGATTTTGGGTGTTTTGGACTTGAACTTAGCTTTGTTGATGAATTTCCCCGAAAGGGAAAATTTGTGTACAGGTGGTGTACCCTGTGGGCGGAACGGCGGGCAGTGGCCTACTCGCTACCCCACACGCGGGGAACGTGATGAATCAGGGTTGTACCCCGCGGGCAGGCCCACTAGTGGGGGCCTACCCGTGGCCCCACTCGCGAGGAACAAATGTTGTTGGTGCGGGGATTTATTCCCCGTGATTCTTTTCTTCTTGGTATTGATGTTTTGACCTCCCGTTGTTGGATTATTGAGTTCTTTGTGAGTCTTCTTGATGTTTCGTATGTCTAGAATGATGTGTTAGAATCCATGTTAGGATTTGGTGTCTTGAATCGTGCTAAGGGTCCAACCTTGTTGTTCGTTGGGCTAATGTGAGTCTTGAAGGTTCGTTGGAACCATTTAGGTTTACCCGCTTGTTGAGCATGCTAGTTTGATGTTGTTATGCTAGTATGTGTGGTTTGTTCCTTCTTATTGGGGTTGACAACTTGCGTTGTTAATCATTTGATGTTGGATTGTAATCCTTTGTTGTTGAGTATTGTCTCATGTCTTTGTTGTGATCTCTTGATTGATTTTTATGGTGTGATCTTGTACAAATCGTTGTACCCTTGGTTGATACTTGATTAAGGCTGTTGATGGGCCTTAGTCTTCTTGATGATTATGACTATGTGTATGTGAATATGAATGAGATTGGTGGTTTGTTACTTGAGCTTTGCTCACATGATCGGTGGTTTGTGACTATGATATTTAATGGTATCCTCGTGTACTGAGAGTTCGGCGGTGAATGATTGGCGGTGTAGGTGGGGGATGATGGTCCCAGGCGGAATAAGGTTGGACTTAGAA